ATTTATAAGCCTTACTTTTAATAAAAGCTAATTAAAATAGGGCTACCGTCTAGCTACTAAATATAGCGAGCTTACTACTCTCTGGCCGCATAGTACCCTTAACAAAATCACCTCCCAATTAACTTATCCTGATTTACCTACTACTAGTACAACCCATAAGAGGGATAAAATTACTCTTCCCAAAGCGGTAGCAAAGAAGAATAATCATGGTTTAATTATATTAGTTCAGAAGGCTAGAAGAGTATCTGAGAGAGTAAAGAAGAGAGTAGCTAAGGAGCAAGCACGTGAGAATGGAGCTAGAGAAGGAGGAGAATCAGATAATCAAGTAGAGGAGAGGGTACCAAAAAGGGCTAGGGTGGCTATAGGAGCGCCTAGACATAGTAGGAGGCATATATAGTAAAGCTTTTACTATTCCCGAAACCTCAATATTACCCGATTAGGCAATCGGCTCTCCGATTAATTAATCGGGACCTACTATGGCTTGCAAATCGTATTTCATTTATAATTAATTAATAGAAGTCCCGATTAATTAATCGGAGAGCCGATTAATTAATTATAGCGCCCGATTCCTAAACCGCTTGTATTAATAGATAGAATAGAACATATCTAGTAATAATAATTAGATAATAGTAAGAAATAAATAATAATAAAGCTTATCTAATTTCCAGAATAATAATCTAATAATAATATTCTCTAAAGATTATAAATAATAATTAGAAAAAAAAAATAAAAGATATATAAAGAATTAAAAATAATAAGTTTTATTCTAGATTAAAAAAAGCTTCTATTATTAGATATTTCTTTCTAGTTTTCTATAAAGGAAATATACTTTATTTTCTCTAATTTTAGTAATTTTAGAATATATATAATAATACTAGTAGCTTTCTTAATTTCCTAAGTACTATTTTACTTATAATACTTTATAATTACTTCTTTTTCTAGTTCTATATTTATTTTAAAATATTTATTTATAGATATATATTTATTATTAACTTTATTTTTAGGGAAATACTAGAATTTATTTCTTTTAATAAATTACTTAAGTTAATTCCCGATATATATTCTTTAAAATATAGTATTATTAAGTTCTTTTAATATATAATATTTTTTTAATTAATTTATATACTTTATTTTATATAGGCTAAACTAGTAATATAATAGTTTTATATTTCTTAACTTATCTTAATTTATTAATTTAATATTATATATAAGAACTAGATTCTTTTCGGAAATAGGCTTTAAATAAATCTAATAAATAATATTAAATTACTTCTTTTTTTCTTAATATTTTCTATTTTTCTTTATTTTAGTTTCTTTAATATCTTTATTTCTTATTTATATTTACTTTATATATATTTCTAGAAATATTTTTCTATTATTATAATATATATATATATAAACTATAGCTACTATATAGCCCTACTATTAACCAGGCATGTTTTAATATAATATCTATAATAATAAAGGCTAGTACTAGTTTAGTAAGGAAAGGCTCTCTAGGAAAACGGAAGTTCTAATAAAGAAATATAAATAGGTAATCTAATAGAGAAAATAAAATAGCTTATATCCTAATCTAAGTATATTAAGAATAAAAGAAGAAGAAACTTAGTATGAGACTAAGGTCGAATTTAGTAATTATATTTTAAGATATATAAAAGAAAAATAATATAGTAATAAAAAAGAGCTTGTTTTCTTATTAAGTCTAAGAATCTCCTATCTTTTAAATATTATTAAGTAATTACATATATTATAGATTAGTATAAAACCAAGTTCCTGCTTTAAGACTATAGGCTACATACTCTCATATAATAAAGGCATGGTATTATATCTTTAATAAGCTTATCTCCTTACTAAACTAGTAGCTAGAGAAGTATATTAGTATTATATTATACAAGAGCTATTACTATATACTTGAACTAAGAGATAATTTCAGACCCGAATTCTTATCCAGATTCTTATATAGAACTTCTAAAGATATTTAGAATAATTCTGCTCTATATCCTTGTACTCTAATTTGCCTTCTATAGTACTATATCTGCTTTTGTATTTAATTCCAGTATTTATATAGACTTTACTAGATATAACTTATACTAGAATAAAGCAAACTCGGATATAATATCTATCTTTAAGAAATATTATATAAACGGAATTTATATAGATATTAATAATTACTTTACTCCTGACGAGACCTGTACTAAGATTACGACCTGTATTACTTATACGGAATGGATTAACTATGCCCTTAATTACTACTAGAATTAAGTAAGTATCTTGTTCTTTTCCCATATTAATATCTAATAAACCAAGATATATAGCTGCAAGTACTAATACTTAGCTATTAGAGCTATAAGAAATTGTCCAATTGCCGACTAACTCCCTCCCTATATTCCAGTACCCGTTAGTGCCCCTAGATCCTGCTCTTGCAATATCGGTTTCATATTCGCGGATTATTTAAATATAAATGGTCCTGGTGCCGGAGAGTAGTTTCAAGGTACAAAGGCCATCGACGGCTTTAAGGCTACAGAAATAATGAAATTGATACGCTACCATAGCTAGCTTACTAGTCCTTCCAGCACCAGGTTCAACCACTAATTTAGGGTTCTCCACTCTCATTTGTCATGTGTCACTCGCCGAGCTTGCCAAGCTTACTAGTATATCGTCATTTTGATTACCTTTGATTTATTAGCTAATTAATAATGTATTGGAGAAAGCGGGCTCGGTATTACCGGTATCGCCGAAGGGTAATGGGAATAAATCCCTTACTTTGGACACTTTTCCTCTGTTTCTAGAACTCACTCTTCTGTATCTAGTCATTCTGCAGTCTGTCAACCTTTAATATATCGATTTTCCATTAATAAATCGATTACTTTCCAATATGTTCCCCTATTGCCAAGATGTCAAGCTTTGAGCCCTCTTGGCCATTATTCGTCAGCATAGCAATGCTGATCTATTCTAACTATGCCACAGGAGAAAGCAAACCTTGCGTGCATTCGAGATAGCTAGAGAAGGTCGCGCGCCCGTTGGAAAGAGTTCCTTCAAGAAGTCGAAGCTCGAGTGTGACAATCCGAACTCCAGGGCATTGAGGCATCAGCCGAAATTCAAATAGCGGCGAGGAGGGTGGCAGACGAAAACAAAAAGCTACGGGGGCTTTGGCGCAACACAGGATTGGAGACGATAACGTCGAACCATACCTGCAGTCTTCGTCTGCGACTGATTTAGTCATGTAAGGCCAATATGGAAGCACGAGTGCCGCCGTTCAGGTTTTGGAATCTTTACCTCGAGTGCGGAAGCCTTGTTGAGCCATGCAGCCCGGTGCGCTAACAAGCACACCTGGACCTTCGCAGGGCTACCTGAAAGCTGCGAGCTCTTTTCAAGCCGTCGTCTTGGCACTCCCACTCGAAAGACTCGAAAGACGGCCCGCCCCAAACTTACTTAGCGCCAGTGGCAAGTGGTTCAAGGGTTCATATGGCTCACCGCGTCTGGGCTTAACTGGATGTAGATCAGTCGTTTCATTGGGCTGGTTGGTCCTGTGAGTTTTCGCGTGCTTTGCGCTATTTGGTAACGAGCATGTGACTGCATGGATCGGCACAGCATTTTCAGCCTCGTTTATGCAAGCCGCTCTCTTCGATATGCCATCAGATTCAAGAATAAATGGCTGGCGGTTGTTCCACTTGCTCTAATGCACCAGTACAGGTCACGCCATCTGCAACTGCAGTTTCAAATGGCATGCTCTCCAACCCCGCTTTTCAATGGTCCTCATTGCCTGCGGCACTTTACTCAATCGTTCATGCGGAACGGGACGAGAGTGGCAACTATCATCAATGTCTGGCAACGATTGTGGACATTCCCGCTGCTGAAGTTTGAGACACAATGGCAACGCCAGCCCTGTGGAAACTAAATATGTCTTCCCCTTCTGTCAGCTACACTTCTACCCCCCAAAAATAGACTCGGGCATCGCTTGCAGCCAGTAACTCTGCTGTTGTGGCTTGGAGGCCGCCCACCTGGCACAACTTCTCAATTGTAATTGGCATGAGCTGTATTTCTACGAGCGAAGGCAACCTATGATAGAGTAGCGTTGGCAAGTGCCACAGCTAATCTGCAGTGACGTGTCCTGACTTCAATCTCAGCTCACTCTTAATTTCATCCAGCTCCCACATCGTATTCATTCATCTCTCAGCCCAAAGTACGACGCTGCAAAGATTTGTGCTGTCAGCCAGCCTCTTTCATTGGAATGCAATGTCCATTGGGCAACACCGAGCAGATCAACGCATGCTCTATTCTTCCCACCTGAGAAGAATGCGGATGATGCAACTCTGCAGACCCGAGCTCACCGTTATCATCTAGCAGGTGCGACGTGTAAACGGCAATATCCATCCCCCAGCATGTCTGGAAGGTTGATGGGTAGAATTTGTGTATAAGTAGCGTGATTTCCTTTGTTGAATCTCTATCTTTCTCCCATACATCAAAAAGTCTCACTACTATCTCTTTCGTATCAAAGGACCCTGAAGCCTCATCGAATTTCTGCTTTTGACATTTAACAACCTTTCAAGCGGTTTTCATCAAAGCAGTTCCCTGTCAAGATGCAGTCAATCAGCTATTGTATCGAAGCTACGCACGCTGTGAAGTCCTTCACAGATGCTGCCATCAAGCGGAAGGACAATAAGTGTACTACGTCTGCAGAAATCTCGGCAAGCAAGGTTGCCAGAGCAAAGGTTTGGGGGCTTCTCTGATTCGATTGCCTCTTGATATATGTCTGACGAAATCAGGCCTTGAAAACCCTCCAGAGAGTCATTAACTCAGTTGACGGTACCCTTGCCTCACTTCGACCCCCAGGAAGTGTCCCTGACGAGAAGCCCGCGCCACCTCAACTGCAATTGGAAAAATCCGATGCTCCTCAGACCAATAGTTTCCACGTGCTTCGATCTGTCATGAGGGCAGAAAGTCAACCTGTTCGAGCTACAGTAGATCCCAAGGTTGCTGCCGATAAAGTATTGAAAGCAATGTCTGCAGAAGGCCTTAATACCCAGGAGACTTCTCTCCAGAAAATGGCTGACTCTATCGGGCCTATTATCGACAATTTCAACTCTATACTTGTAAGCTTTTAGGCCCATTCGCTTCCCTCCTATTCATATCCATCATAATCTGAGCAGTCGCTAATATTTTTGCCCGGTCAGACGAAACCTTACATCGAGAAGTATAACGCAACACTCAACACTGTTCCGGTCGTCGGCCTAAAGGACAATCAAATCATGTACATCGACACCTCTGTCAGCAAAACCCCATCGGGTCTTAGCGATGCGTGGGCATTGTTCAGTTCCCTCCCTACCGATGCCAAGGTATCCGACCTGACTCAAGTTCACTTCTTCCCCTTCAACGGCGATTTCTACCTAGCGGTCGGCACGGCTGTATGGAAGAAAGCCCACCGTTCGGATCGAGATCCCCAACTCTCGTCCGCTGTTGATCATTGGCCAAAAATGTTTGTCGACGAATGGACTAAAATTGGCGATGCCTGTCTCCCCGCACCGGATTTGAAATCCATCGTACCATTCGCAATCCTCTCCGCAGACAAGAATGCCATTGCTTTCAAAGTGGTTCTCCTTGGCCAAGATGATACCATACAAGTCCTGGCCTCGGACTCTTTTGGGGCAACCAACACTTTCGTTCAACTGAACTATCTCAAAGGGCAGGGTTCCGATTCTCCTACAGTAGCACCAAAGTGGACTCGTATGGCTTATTGGAACAACCAAATTACCGCTCTCGACGATGGGGATAATACCTGGGACCTTACGCCAGATTTCACTGCACAAACATACACCACTGATACAAAGATTCATGTCGATCACTTCACCGAATTTACTGCTACTGATGTCGGCCCCGTTGGCGTCGCACCGGATGGATATCTCTACAAGCGCATTGTAGAGCCACCGCCTACCAATAAAGAGGATCAAGACCCAACGTTGAAATGGACACGGTGGATTTTGCAAGACGGCGTCACCAATATTGGAGTTGCTTCACCTGGAGTCCTTCTGGATCTGCACCTCTTGACCAGTACATTGCGCTCTCGATACCTTGATACCCAAGCAGCTGTTTACCCGGCGGTAAGCAAGATACTCGCTTTCGCCAACACCAATAAGGTATTTTTAGGGCAATTGAAAGCACAAGCGGACATTTACAATTCGACCTCGAGCACAGACGGACAGAAGGCCCAGGCCCTTCACGCCGGAAAGGAGATTTGTATCCATGCACAAGTATGGGCAGGAATTCTAAGTAGGTCTGTTGGAGGGTCGACTGTCGCTGTCAGTATCATGACAAAACAGCTCAATGATGTCAAGAATCAGCTGTTGATCCAGACGCAGCTTTTGAGGGATAGACTTGCTAGCTTGCAAGCACAACTATCCTCGCAGAAAGAAGCACTTTCAAAGTTGCAGGCCGCATTTTGGGGTGCAGTAGCTTGCATGTTTCTAGGTTAGTTACTCTTACGACCTCAGGCCCGTCTCAGCACGTGAGCTTTTTTCTTGTTGGGAGATGCTAATTACTTTCTGTATCTAGGTATGATTGTCGCAATTGCAGGACTTGCTACTGGCGCAGGGGCCGCCCTTTTCGTCCTTGCTGGGGCCCTCTTTATAGGTGGTCTGGTTGCCATGGTAGCGCTAGGGGTTCAGATGGGGGATCTGGCAGGGAAAATCGCCGACACAGAGAGTCAAATCAGAACCACAAATACAGCTATTTCGGAGCTGTCGACTGTCACAGACAGTTTTGTAACTTTGGACCAACTCTATGGCGATTTGAACTCATTTTGGGGGACCTTGTCAGATGACGCAGGGGAAATTGCGACAGATGACGAAGCGACTATGGAGTATATTGGTGCAGGCACTCTCGCTATCACCGACTCCATTATTTCGGCGCAACAAATTTCGGCCGATATCAGTGATGCTTGTCAGAAATATCTCGATGTTCTGCACAGGCAAGGTGTGATCATTCCTCCAACATTCATGGCAGATGCTGCCACGCCCTCAAATTCAACCCATACTACCCCTGTTGCCCTGGCTATGGTCAACGGGTCAGTTGCTTCTAAGAAGTTGGCTAGTACTCAGGGAAATGGTGTGGCGTATTCTGATTCACTTACAAGTCGCATAAACGGCACTACCCCAATCAGCATCACTCTTCTCGACAATAATGTCGATCTGCACGTCCATTTCTTCGACGTTGCCACTCATGCTACTGGACTTCTCTCGAATGGAGACTTCGAAGGTTACAAATCCACGATGAAATACGCTACTGTTGTCCATCAAGCCGCTATTACAAGAGATACTCACACATTGGCGTCAACTGGGATGTGGTTCGACATTCCGACATTGAGTAAAACCAGTTCTATCTGGCCCGGTTTCTCGGCTGATTCAATCAAATCCTTCAACAGTATCAGCAATCTCGCGCCTACAGTACCCAATACTCCAGAATCTCTGAACTCCCAGCTGGCCAACGTGAAACCAGCAGTCAAGGAGATGCTCCAAAAGACCATTGACTTTGCAGCAATCGCAGTGGAGTGGGCGACGGAATATCCTACACTGTCAAAGGCTATAACCCCTCCGGTCACCGCTTTGCATGACTCCGCTCTCAAAGCTTGCCAAGCTGCTTTGGCCTCAGCGACGAGCGCGAACAACGATTTTGTCGACTTCAACCGTGCATCTACCAGCTTCACCCAGGAAATGGAAGTCCGCGTCAACACCAACGCTTCCCAAATTGACGTTGAGAGAGCCAAAGCAGACAGCGACATGAACCACATCAGCGTCCCCTGGTACATCTACCTCGCCGGCCCGGCTTCCGTCCTTATCTACGAGGAGAACGAGAAGAGCAATATCCGTAACAGACTCAACGCCACCTTAGACGCCATAAACAATACGATTAATGAGCTCAGGGGTTTTGAGGATAGTGGGAAAGTGATTGATGGGGGGTCGGCGACGTGGCAGGCGATGGTGCAGGATGTTAGTGGGAAGCTGGGGAGTTTGGTGGATGTTTTGGTGGCGATTGAGGGTCAGATTATGGAGAATCCGGAGATTTATGCGGATTTTATGCATCAGGAATGGGCGGAGTTGAAGAAGAATGCGCAGGAGGTGCTTAATATTTTGGGGGCTTAGGTGCTTCTAAATGGTGTTCCAGATAAGGCAATCGGCTATACTAAAGAAAGTCTGCTGAACGCACGAGCTTACACGTGATAAAAGATTACGAGTTCAAATTCTTTTTAATGATGCGGATTTTACAGTGTCTCAAATTGCCTTACAAACAGGCCTTACTTCACGCCAAATACGCTATGCTCTTGTAAACCGCTTTACGCCTTAAAAGCAAAAGAATGGCCGGAGAGCATTCCTGACTACCCCACAAAGGAAGAGGCTAATTGAATGGGTATCAGCCTCTCGAGAGAATCGGGAGATCCCTTGGATAGATATTCCTAGTATCCTAGGCCTTGATTGTGGAGAGAGAGATACCCGGACAGCATTTAAGAAAGAGGGATATGCACGACGCGTCTCACGAAGGAAACCCCCGCTTTCAGATGAGTATAGAAAGAAGAGACTCGATTGGGCACAAGAACACGTTAGTTGGTCAGACGAACATTGGGACAAGATTCTTTGAAGCGATGAGTGTTACAATAAAACATTGTTGTTGTATTGTCATAATAATAAGTAAGATAGATCAAGAGAGAAAAGGAGGTGTGGCACGGAGAGCCAGAGCTTAAATACAGGAGCATTGGTCACGTGTGTATGCACGTGACCCGAATATAGTTGCTATGCAACAATGAGACATGGGCAAAATCTGGGAGGTATATACGGGTGTGGATTATATGTAAAATTGGGAAAATAGAAAGTAAGTAAAGCAGTAATGTATTATATATGCGGTGGCATGGTATACCCGCAAAGTGAGGTGAGGATTCGAGCAAAACAAACTCATATTCTTAGTCACGTCATTATTCACGTGAGGAGGCGCAGGGGCGTTGTTTGGCATTAAACGTGTCTGCAAGGCTCTATTGTTTTCCCGCTTTCATTTAAAGAAGTGGCTATGGCAATCAGAGATTGTTCTATCCAACTCGCTAGCTCTATAGTTTTACTGCCAGGTTAATGCCAGTCAGCAAAAGCTCAGCGCGTCATCCTCGGATCTTCTCCGGCTAGAATCGCGATACGATACTCGAGCAAACTAGCGAAACACCTTCTTTTCAGTCCACCACAGCTTCGCATTAAATATCTTCTAGAACCGAAGAAGCCCAAGAAGTAGAATTCAGCGGTTTCTCTTTCATGAGCATTAAAAATTAAGATAAAACATTTTGAATGATTTCGTGGTCGCTTAATTCCGTCCTGCGCAAGGTGGGTGTGGCGTCGCACCACCCAGCCACTCCACCCAGCCATCTCACTTGGCAGATTCTCGTATCCTCAGAGGCTGGCGTTTCACTGGTTGCCTGTCTCAGGTACTTCGTATCATTTTGCCTCCTGCAGATCTTCCTTCAATCTGATTCGCCCTCTAGAGCAGATCTACAGCCATCGTATTTAAACATTGGGCGGATATTAATCCTTAGAAAAAGATGACCTGCGCCAAGACTTAACGCCGCACGTAGCTCGATCCCAGCCTCCCTAGGCTAGAGAGAGCTTAAAGCGAGGCATTTCTAAATATCGATACTGCGGATACCTACAACGCACAATTGAACGAGTTCAGCGGAACCTATACGAACAAGGCGCAGCTATTGCAACTATTTTCACTAATATAAAGATCTTCCACAATCCTCCTTCAACTCGAAATTCAACAGCACAATACCTTACGACCAACCTCCACACACATCTGTCTTCAGTATATCAATACAAGTAATTGAGACTATCTTCGATCTCATTTGCCCGATCAAAATGAAGTTCACAACAAGTTTGGTGGCAGCTGCCACCCTCCTCACCACTGCTCTCGGAGCACCAACCGGAATCTCGGCTCGCGACGCACAACAAACATGGACCATCACCGACTTCACGATCTCCAGTGAGTTTCCCCCAGACCCTCCTCCCATCTATTCCTATCCTAACATGATCCAGACAACACCGACAATCTATCTTCAAAATTCAACTTCAACATTGTGGACAGCGCAAACTCCTCAACTCCCTGCTACATCGCAAACGCGTACCCAACCGGCACGTCGATCGACGCGCGGTGTGCTGCGCCGGGCGACAATGGACCAACGAGCAACAGCACCAACCCGTACTCAATCAGCTGGTACTACGACTCGTACAGCGATCAGGCGATCATGGAGGTTTTTACGTAAGTGCCACCTTGTCTGTGGTTGTTATAAATGGCAGGGGTGCTGACAGATGGTAGATACGTGCAGGCCGCTGTGTTCTTGTACCCGCGAGCGAGCACTATGTTGGAAGGCGTGACAGAAGATGATGTTGGGCCCAACACTGCGCGGTGGTTACCGGTTGGCTGAACAATACCCTATCAGGAGTGAGATTCCGCGATTAGGATTCGGAGTGGCTGTGGTGTCTTGGCACGACAATACGTATGACGATACTTATGACACATTGCATTAGGCTCGGCGTTGGGTTGTCTTATTTCCGGCTGCATTCTATAGCGTCCCATATATAGATGAAAATATAAATCGTAATTCCTGCCTCTCCGATCGAAAATGAAAGAACCTGTAAAATCACGTGACAAGAAACCCAATGTCGAATGCCAGAGGAGAACCCATTTTCATGGAAAGATCCATTTCCGTATCGGAGAAAAGGCAACATCGGTTAATATCACGGCATTTAGGGAGAGTTATGTCCCGCGGACGATCTCGAAGGTGTTGGTGCACGGGGAGAGTTCGAGGGATCCGGTGTTTAGGGAGGTGGTGGAGAGGGCTGTTGAGGGCATTTCAGATGAGAATCTCGTGCCGGTTTATGCGGGTGATCCGGTGTTCGTGGCGGCGAAGGGCGCGGCGGAGTTGTAGAGGAGGGCGTTGGCGGGGAGGGAAGGTGAGAAGGGCTTTGGTGAGTTGTGATATGATATAGTCAGTAAACAAAGGCGTTCTTGTCGATTCTTTCTTTCCTGAAACACTTCCTCGAAACTGTATGTGACTATCTCTCCATTAGACTTGCTGACCACTGCGAAGAAACCTTCCAAGTCTTCACGTTCGCTAACCCTGGTCGAAAGATATGATAACTTAGCCAGCTGGGTAGCAGGGCAAGTAATCTTTCCTTTGCGGCGATTCAAAAATTAGCTCTGGGTTCTATATACATTAATCCACACAATCTCTGTATTATTAATCAATGCGGTCCCTTCGCCGTCCACCCTCCCCATAAACTCCTCCCCCTTCCGCCTCCTTCACCACCACCTCCCTCCCATTCATCCCCACTACCGGCAAATAGGACCCCGCAATCTCCACACTCTCCCTCGGGAAAAAATGAAAGATCAGACTCCTCCAAGAGTTTCTGCCTTTCGTCCGGAAGACATTGTCAGACATTTTAGTGCTGAATACAATGTCGAGCGCAGCAAATCTTTCGACGCCCGAAATTGCTCAGGTTCACCTCACTCAAGCAATCACTATTGGTTCCAACTCAGCACCTATTTCCCTGGATAGTACCCGACAAGCACCTGCTGCATCAGCAAACTCATGAAACTGCTACATCGTTGCTTCCTCCGACGATAGCTTAGTCTTCGTGGGGCCGGATTTAATCAACAACCTCTGCCGTTGACAATAAACGGTTAGAGCGTTCCATTCCCAAATCAGCAAGATGACCCAAACGACGTTTGGTCCACCAACCCGATCCCTTTTAAAGCGGTATACCCATTCAAGTGCAAGTGTAAGGCCAGCCAATTTCAAACCTTCGGTGGAAGGCTGCTCGGGCGCCACTATCTCCAATTCCAAACTCTGCACTCCTGCCAGACTATTCATCTGTAACACTCAGCGTTTTCCAGGGAATCTACAAAGCGGCCATAGTCCTCAATAACTTGAAGCTTTCAGCGGATGAGATTTCATACTTCGTTCAGAATGCAAAAGACTTTGATTCCGTGAACTAGCCATCGTGCTAATTCTGGGAGTTCTAAAGCTTATCTCTACTAAATACTAGGACCTTAATACTACGTAGGCTAGGAACACATTTACGTACAAAGCAAATTTATATTTAAACCTTAAATATATATAGAGCGTATTTATATATAACGGGTATTTATATATAAGGCGCATTTGCGTGCGAAGTATATATATATATTCCTTGAGCGTACGCGCGTGCCTTGAGGATATACTTTTAAAGCGATCACAAGGGGTAAGTAAAGGGACGTGCTTCTTACCCATCTTTTGTGCCCATGCCGGGGGCTAAAGAATAGCCGAAAAAGAAAGCCTTACTTTACGATTTCGATGGATCCCACGTTTCCATTGTCACATTCACTTCACCCGCTTCCCCACCAATCACCCTGTCTTCAGCACTTTCAACGTCGTTCTTGTACTTCACGGACTCATCAACAAACGATACTACTATCATTTCTTACAATAAAGGAGCTGCAGTACTAGTTTCTGCAGGACTTTCATCTTATGTTCAACTATAGGTCACATATCCCGCCGCATCCCCCAATGCACCGGTCATTATTCTCCCTGACGGCAGTACGCAAAACTTCTATAATGCTGTATCTCACCAACCTCTTACCCCCACCATGGCGCCACCGATTATAGACACCATTTTTAAATATTTTGCCAGTATGACGGGCGATAAAATGAATGGAGATATATTTGGCAGCACGGATAATCTGCCTGCGTTCTCAAAGGACTACTACGAACTTGGCACTCCGTACGCACTTTATTATTAGGAGATTGGAGTCTATATTCCGATGCTTCTTATAACCAAATTGCTCTCATTGCAGCAATTTGACCAGGCTCTGGCAATGGCAAACTATGTATTCGACCCTACGAGATCCACACCACCAAAACCGGGTGATAGATGGAAATAGCCTGCATAAGAAAACATCGTTGGTGAGAATACACTTGAGGCACTATTTGCATCGCTAGGGTTAGAAGAGATTGAGCCGAAAGGCAGTCGTATCGAATCGTGGCGGGACAATCCCTTCCAGCCTTTCGTCGTTGCACAGGGGCGAAGAATAACGTATATAAAGTGGTTCGTCATGACTTATATCAATATTTTGATATCATATGAGGATTTTTATTTCATGCAAAACACTCTTGAAGCCCTTCCACTGGCTATACAGCTATACGTCCGGGATTCTCACATCTATGGCCCGAGAGCACTGGTGATTCCACAGTGGGGAAATAAGCAGGTTCAGACCTATGCTTCTCTGATTGGCAAATGGTATGGCTTTAGCAACGCTGTGGTTCAAATTGAACTTATGTTTCCCTTCAGCAACCAATCGACAGAGCCACTTGAATCGATCTTTGGAGAGAATGTTTTAGCAAACATCTTCTGCTTTGGCACAACAACTTATTACTGTATCCCGAACAATATGCAGCTCTCATTGCTGCAAGATTTTATCGACAACCGACTCTTCAAGATCAGGCACTGCTAAAATATTAATAGAGGTTCAGACAACTGCTGTTATTCGAACCACCTATGAATCATGATCTTCTTGTCCAAGCTACTGCAGCTGGGCTTAGCTTCACAAATGTTATCAACAATGTTAATTCTCTGATGCCTAATTCCAAATTCATCTCTTGCTCCAGAAAGCACTGGAGATCTGTAATAAGCTAAAGTTACTCGGAAGTGCATATCTCAGTATCAAGAAGAAGCAAGATGCCAAAACTATTGAACATGCAAGCAGGGCATGAAGTCACTATTAACACACTAGTCATGAACATGTACAAACTTCAATATTATTTCCAGCTGCTGGGCAAGAATCTTCCCAATCCTCCTTTGTTGGCAAACAATTTCACAGACTCCACGGAAATCACTGAGGTTATTAAAGATCCCAGTGGCAACAGACCGCTTTTCTTTGACAAGCAACAAGAATATGGAAATAAGCAAAGCTGCTAATACAAAGTCAAAGTCAGATACCATAGGAGATGTCAAGATGCTCTCAAGTGCATTGCATAAGTTTTGACTAACCTAATACCGTGCTGATCAGCTAAAAGTTCTTCTTAGATGCAATTACCAATCCCGATCTTCAAACCGCGCCGTATGGTATCGGGGCCCTTGTGAAATGGGGTCCAAGCAGTTTCGCCAACGCGGCGGCAGCAACTGCTCGGTTAATGAAGATCGGTGTAGATGGGCTCACATTCGAATCCGTCAACGCAGGTCGGATGAATGGCTTCACCCGAGCCATTCAAAACCGTGTCCATCAAGCCACTCTTACTGGCTTCGAGATTCTGAGCAGCAATAAGAGCATTGAAACACAGCAGCGGAAGATCGACTTGGCGAACCAGGACATTACCAATCAACAGCAACTAATAGACAATGCTACTGAGGTCCTGACTTTACTCAAGCACAAGTATACCAATGGTTAACTGTATGCATGGATGGAGACGTCGATGAGGACTCTCCTCTACCAGACCTACACACTCGCGTGTCAACTGTTATAAAAGGCTCAGAAGGCATCCTGCTACGTGTGAGGTATCGACCCTGCCAGTGCAAACTACATATCCTTCGGATATTGGGTTGACTCCCAAAATGGCATTCATTGGAGAGAACGTCTCTTCTACAGCCTGAAGACACTCGCGGCCGCATACCACGACAAGCGGGGCTACGATTTCGAGATCACCAAGCGCATTTCGATCCGCCAACTGGATCCCCCGGCCCTATTTCGACTTCGTGAACTAGGTACGTGCGAAATCATCATCCCTGAAGTGCTTTATGATATGGATTTTCCCGGCCATTACCAGATAATGATCAAATCAGTCAGTTTGAGTATCCCGTACGTTGTCGATCCATACACCAGTATTTCGTGCGCCCTGCGACTCCTCGACAGCGTCTATCGTACCAGTTCCCTCGCAACAGACAAGAACGCCTACCCGCAAGATACGACCGCAACCACTCTTTATTGACCGCCATTATGTCGAGGTTAATCAAGGATAGAGAGCGATAACTTTCCATCTTCCAATCGCCGAGCCCCATACGTTCTCCAAGATTTAATAAAGCCCTATGGTAAGCAAATTATCCAGGTAAGGAGTAAAATGAAGAGCTCCGGGACGCATGTGATTTTCTTTATTGGACTGCGGGGGGGGGATCTCTGGCGGTATAATTGGCAGTACGGAAACCAGCGGATCGCCTCGGTAGTATATATTCGGTATAATAGACTTGTTGTTGAGGAACGTATATACGGGATTGCGGTTGCGGTATATAAAGGGTTTGGTCGGAAGGAAGACCTTGGATAGCCTGAGAATTCGAGTCGGGTTAACTACCGTAGAGGTTCTATTCCATGGTATTCAGAGTCGTTAATAACAGATCGAAATATAAGGGGACAGATTACTTATAATTAATCTATAGTACTTGAATGGAATTGCCCTTTAAAAGATTTAAAGGTCGTTTGCTTTCTTTAGAGAATTAGCAGATATAAATTTCGAGGTTATATATAGGAGTAAATAATTCGGCTAATTTATAGGCCTATAAAGTAAGCTACTAGTATACTCCTTTCCTTTTCTTCTTTAATAGGGGACTTCTCTACTTAATTAAATTATATTCTTAATTAGCTATAACTATATTAGATAAGATAGTAGGTAATAAAAGTAATTAGACTAGTAGTATATTATTAATAAGGAAATTTAGTTAATTCTAATAGGCTTAGTAAGTAAGAAGCAGAAAGTAGCTTAAGATCTAGATAGTAAATTATTAAAGAAGCTATTAAATAGAGAAATAAAGGAAGCTAAGAACTTTAGTAAATATAAGCCAGATTCAGAATATAACTCAAACTCTGGACCAGATATTAATACCCTATTAATAAAAAAGCTACTAGTATAGAAAGATAGGAGTTTTAAGAGAGGTAATTATATTAAAGGAAATAATAGTAATAAAGATCCGGATACTTATATAATAGATTAGGTAATATAAGAGTTAATAAAATTGAATAACTTTTCTAGATATATAAGAAAGTCGGAGAGAAGTGGGTTTTATATATCTATTAATAAGATTTGAGAGGCTTATTATAAAAAGCTATATTTTTTTAGAAAGGAAATAAACTTATTCTATAATAGAGAATATTTACTAATTATAGGAAGAGGTAAGGCAGAAATATAAAATATATCTATATAGAAATAAGTAAATAGAGAGTTATTCGAGGGAAAAAGTATAATAGCCTTATAAAATAGTAATATAGTAGCCTCTAATATTAGTAATAAGTATAGATTTAATAAATAATAAGATTAATAGTTTCTAATTAGGGTATAATATAAGAATTAGAAGAATAGACTAGTTATATAAGATAAACTAAGTAGAGAAATACTTCTTATAAATAATATTAGAAAGAAATATATTAAGTATATATAAGAAATAAAGAAAAGAAAAAAAGATAGTAATAAATTTATGAACTTAATAAATAGCCTAATTTATATTTCTAGGGCTTAAAGTAAGTATAATTAAGGAAAGAGATTATATATAGCTAATACTAATCCTATTAATACAGATATTATAGACTATAACTAGCTTTATATCTTAAAGGAAATCTATTATAAGTTAATTATAAGTAATAATATAATAATTACTTTAATTTTATTAGGGTCTTATAATAATAATAAACTTTAAAATACTTTTCGAATAAAGCTTTAAGATATAATAGAGATGTTTTATATACTAGATTATAATATTAAAATATTTAAATAATTTATAGATATTATATTCCTATATTACTAGTATATTTCTTTTAAAAAGATTAGCTATCTAATAGGGTTTAAAAATATAGCTAATCTCTAATATATTACTAATTTCTAGAAAAAGTTATAAAAGTATAAGCTTTTCTATAAGTTATAAATAATAATACTACTATATAATTTTATTATCTTTATTATTAGTAAGGAAGAATTAGATAATTTAGATAATTATAATAATAGAAACAAGTAATTCCGGTTAGAGGAAAAGGAAATTAATAATAAATATAAGTTATATTAGTTCCCTTATTAGTAATACTTGAAATTAATAATATAAAGTACTTATATAGGTTTTAGGGTTAATATTAGTATTACTTATTATATAATAAGTAATATTTCTATTCTTATAAAAGGAAAAAGAGATATTAGATCTTTATTTCTATAAACTAAGAAGAATATAGCTTTTAAAAATAGGGTCTATATATAGGTATTTATTAATATATAGGTAAGTTAGATATATTAAATTCTAGTAAGTATCTTATAGAATGAATATTTAGTAGCTTACTAAAGGTAATTATTATATTTATATTAGGGAATATTATAATAGAAGCAGGAGGCTATAAATCTTTAATACTATAAGTATAGCTAGTAATAAAACTAGTTATTTTTGGTGGAAATTCTAGTATACTTATATTTAACTATATATAATAGAGTTAGTAAAGGCATTTATACTTTAGAAATATTTAATTAGTATAGAAAATAGTCGAGATTAATAATAATTACTTTTATAAAAATCGAATCTAAATATACTTATTTAGTTATATAAAGGAAATATGGTTTTAATAAAAACCCTAAAATGGCTAGCTTTTAATAATTACTATTTAACTAATAGCTACCTTTACCTAAGGCCTTAAAACTAGCCTTAGACTCAAAACCATTTATAGAATTATAATTATTTATAAAACTATTTATAGAATTATTTATAGAACTATTTATAAAACTAATTATAAAACTATTTATAGAATAGTTTATAAAGCCAGACTTATTTATAGTACTTCTATAGAATTAAACTTATCTATAAAACTAGAATTATTTATAGAGCCGGATTTATTAAGGTTTTATTAGCTCTCGGTCTCCTTAAAGCCTTATTTCTCTTTTTATTATAATCCCCAGATACCCGGTATCTGAGATACCTTACTAGATATTAGATACTTCCTAGATACATGTAATACGGCCGCCTTACTAGGGAAATATACTTGGAATATACTAGAAATATTTAGAAGACTAGCCCCTTTAGGACTAGCATACTATAGGGTATATATATTCTCTCTTAGCCTCCTATATTCTAGTTTTCTTTTCCTTAGCTTTGAATTATCTTTATAAGAGACCTTCTACCTTGCTTTTTAAGCCCTGAATACCATATCTATAATAGTATTTAAAGCTTACTTCCTTTAATCTTATAAAGGATTTCAAATAAACTAATTCAGAACTATTAGAAATATAAATATTACTAAGATAACAGAACCTTAGAAACTCAAATAATAGACTCCAGAATAATAAAAGCAAAAAGCTTTAGAATCCTTAGAGAAATTAGGTATTTATATCTTTATAAATATATACTAGTAGTATATTAGAAACTCCCTCAAAAACCCGAAAAGTTAAAGAACCTTAAATAAAGGCTACTCTTTAACCAAGTCCTAGAGTAATAGGTACCTATAGGCTAGTAACCTGACTATTATTCTCAAGCCCTATCCTATAACCTTATAGGCCCTATATATATACTAGTAATGAAACTATTAGGGAAAATATAATAGAAGAAAAGTATAATAAGTTAATTTTCCAGGATATTATATAACCAGGAATTATATCGACTTTTGCCAAGGCTTCTAGTAAAGCTCCTACTAGTTCAGGTTATCCCGTCGGCGGCCCTTTCCGAATCAAACGTCTCGTTAGTATTCCTGGAGAATTTATAAATAAGTCTATAGAAATAGAATTCTCTGCTTTTATTATAAAGCTTCTAGAAACTAATAATTATATTACTATTAGAGAGTTATATGAATAGGCCAAGGAACCCAATATCTTACTCTCAGATATTAATATTATTATAAAAAGCTATTTCTTATAAGAATACCTATAGTTATAATAAAGCTATTCTCGAGAATACCAAGCTCTATAATACTAAGCTTAAGGACAAAGTTAAATACTATATAGCTATAGTAGATCGGCTTATAGTAGCTCTAACTACTTCTATTCCGCCCGCTCTAATTACTTTAAATCCCTCTTAAAAGAATTCTGAACTATCTCCTATTTATTCTTGTCCAGAATTCCTTATATCTCATGCTTTCTTTAGAGATACTAGAGTTACTAAGCTCCTAGATCTAATTCTCTTTACTAGAAATCGTACTATCTTTAATAACTAGCTAGTTTAGATTAAGAATAAGCTATAAGGAAATACTAATTCGTATTTCTTAGAGAATCTCAAGATTATTTATATTTCTAATAAACTTACTAGTAATACTCTCGCCCTAACTAATTTTCATATAGATAAAAATAGTCCGAATTAGTACTATTAGCTCTTAGAGTTCTACTCCTACCTAAAGAAGCTATACTCTAATCCTAATAAGATATAGAATACTTATTATAACTTTAGTAAGCTTTAAATATATTCTAGTTAAGTATTTCAGGAGTTCTATATTCTCTTCTTATAACTATTTATAGAAGGCAGTATTAGTCTTTAAGACATTAAATATAAACTAAATAAGAAGCTCTTACTAAAGCTTTAGAAGTTAGTATATATATACTATAATAATTTATCTATTAATACTACTTGCTTTACTTAATACTATATTACTAATAATTAGTAAATTAAGGCTATATATAAGAAGACTAAGAAGTATAAGAAGGCAGGAGCTATCCCAGCCAAGTTTACTTCTAGTATTATATCCTTATATACTTCTAAGAAGTATATTCCTAAGAAGGAGCTCAAGAAGCCTATATTAACTACTCTTATTAAGTATATATTCCCTTATAAGTATAAGTAATATCTTATAAAAACCGAGGATCTCTTAACTATTAAATACTCTAATTATAACGAGTTCGGCTACTATACTAGATACTATTTGCTTTTATATAATAAGGAAACCAAGGTAGCTCTTTCTAGAATTAAGCCAGGCTTAGTTCCTATTTCACTAGAGTATATTATTTAAATAAAGTATTTAGAGAATTCGAGCTCTAATTCTAATATA